AGTCCGAGTGGCTCGCTGCACTTTTGTCTGCCTGCCCCCCCCCCCCCCCCCCTTGGGGACTACAGGCGTGACAGTGTATGTGTTGGTAGTGGTCTACTCAGGTGAACGGAAAATTATGACTGAACAAGTCATTGTTAAGAAATTTTCGGCTGCATCACCATCAGGCATCAGCAATTGTTAATTTTATACAATCTGTAATTTTCTCATTTTGTGACGTTTTATATAATGCATAACTGTAATAGTAAATTTAGCTTTGCAACATCTATATTATGTTATCCGTTTCTTGTACTTCTTACTAAAATATTCCTTAAAATAACTGGTACACCTTGGCAAATATTTCTTAAATAAATCACTACTTAATCTTCTTCGTTAAATTTTAACTGGAATCAGTTAGTTTGCATGAAACAAATCAGTCGGAAGCTGTAAAGGAATAAAGCTTAGTTCAATCTGAGGCGAATCCCGAGCGGAACGCAGGACACGAATCTGCTCGATTCGCTCGCTCGCTTAGCCTCCCTGTGACGAATTCCACATGTCATTATTTTTGGTTTCTCAATAGGAAAACATGTCTTTTAATATTGAAGCTGAGATTTTGTTGTTATTCGTATTAATTAAAGAAGAATCTCAAGATGTGAGGAAGAAAAGAAGAAAATGTGTTCATTAGCTGAGTACTCAACGCATAGAATTAGGAGAGTTTCACACTTTAATACCCACATTACAAAAATATAAAAAAAGTTTATTGTATATATTTTCATATGCCAGAAGAATGCTGTAACGAAATTCAAAGTTTAACGGCATTTCGAAAAATCAGGCACTATCCCGTGTATGTTTCGCTGCAGCACGAGCTACTATTCGCGTCAATGTGAACACATCTATACAAGTTAGCTGACACAATCGGCGCGAGCGAATTGCGTCCCAAGCCCCGCACGCGATTCGCCTCAGTTTGAACGAAGCTTAACACTACCCATCTCTATTCACTGAATTCACGCAAAACAAGCACAACGTAGCACCGCCTATATAATGTATGTTCTCTTTATAGCTGATCCCGGGTAATGTTAAACGAGTAGAGATGGTACAGTTTTACTCAGTCAGTTTCGGTGACACAGTGTTCACGATACCAACGCGGTATACTGAGCTAGTGCAGCGCGGCGCTGGTGCGCAGGGCATGGTGTGGTAAGGATGTTCGATGCCGTTTTGGGCTGCTTGACGCTTTTTGTGTTCACCCATCCGCTTTGATTTTAGACTAATTTCATTCGCTTTTTACTCTCATACCAATCAGAGGCAATCTCGAGTTTGGACTGAGACCACAATATCAAAATGTGTGTTACATAATATGGTTTAAACTCAGTTTTTTATTTTGTTGAGTATGAGTTTATGACATTGTCTCTGAAAACCGGCCTCAGTGTTTAAGCACTTTTCCGACCTGAAATCTAATTTCAAATTTGGAATGTCTGTTTTTCTCTGTTTTGTTAAATGACAAAAAACTTAGAATAAATGTGGTAACTGAATAAAAAAAGATATACGTATTTGTATCTATAAAAGTATAATGCTTAACTCTCGTTTCTTTAACTCCATTGAAGTCATTTAGACTATCGACAACACAAATGCTAAAGTGAGAACATAATGAAGATAAACGTAGTTATCTACTTTATGTTCTCCGATTTTACAAATGAATAGCAATTTTAAATAGAGTTTTTGAAAAGTTCGATAACTCGGCCATTTTCAATACTTATATTTGTCATTATAGTACTCTACAAGATAATTCGATATAATTATTTTAAATATTAGCCAAGAGAAAGAAATATAATATCGTGTTTAAGATTTCTTTTTTTAATTTATTCGCCTTTTTAAAAATTTGTTTTTAACGATAACAAAAAAGCACACTCCTTAAATAATATTAGTCATAAATGCTTAATATCTAAAGTGTAGGTGAACTTTTGCTATTTAATCTTATCAAATATTTCGTACTTCATATTTTCCTTCCTTTATTTACATTCTTTGGCTGTGGTGTTGCGTTTCAAAACTTCGAGCGGAAAGCCAGGAGTAAAGTTGAAATGTTTAAACTTTTAATTAGGTGTTTTAGATAACTGGCAAAGAACAGCTAACGTTTTTGTTATTTGGATAAACACTCACGGCAAAACCGGTCGGTTTTTATAATTAGTATACTAAATGAAATTATTTTTACGTATTTTATCGCGTTTAACTTTAATTTTTTTTAATTCCCGACGTTTGCTCCAACCATCGAAGGATGAATCGCGAGACAGCTGAAATTAAAAAACATACTAATTTCAATAGTAAATATGGTTAAGAGTTACAGGCCATATACGTCCCACTGCTGGACACATGCCTCCTCTCATTACTGAGAGGGTTATGGTTATAATTAATAGAATTAAATCCAAACCCAAGCATACCACTGAAAGACTTTAATATACTGTAAGCTCATTCTGCGTAGATCGGACCTAAAATTTATATTCAAAAACTGAAGGTAGCCGGGCTAACTATGACGTTTGTATCGGGACGTTAAACACCACAGTCCCACCCGTGACCGTGGGTACTGTAAAGCACCCCGAAACTTTGGGAAAAGTTAAAATTAAACGCGATAGAATCCGTAAAATTAGTTTCATTTAATGTATAGTGTTCGCGTAAATATAAGAAATCAATTGGAATGTTAATATTTTAAATTAAATATTGTGAAACAAGTACCAGTGTTTATGCCATGGTTTATCCAAATCACAAAAGACAACGAATCGCAAATATAATTTATAACAGCTCAAATGTTCGCCAATGTGAACAGGATGAACTTTTTAAATATCACGCAGTTATGTAACGCACGGTGAAGAATCAAGTTTTCTTTTTGAATAGGGTGGCAAACGAGCATAGTCCACCTGATGGTAAGTGATTACTGTGACTTATAGACATCCACATCTATCCTCAATAAAGAATCAAAATGCAGATGCGTTGTCACCCGTGAGGACTAAGATGGAATGCCTCTCTTCCGGTAAAAAGGGTCTCCGGTTCTCTACACTCACCATACGAAACACAGCAGTGTTAAGCTGCTATTTACGCTGGTGTTCTGTGAGAGCGTGATCCTTCCCCGGTCGAGCCGACCCATTCGTGCTACAACTATACTACTAATATAGCTGCAGCATGCTTTAACATATCTAACACTCCATATTTTTCACCTTAAACGCGCTTGCTCGTCAAACAGTGACTAATAACCTTTTAATAAAAATCACTATTACTAAGAATGATTTGGCTAGATAGTAGCAAACTTTTTCTGCCTATGGTAGGTATCACTCTCTTATCATGTCACTAAATAGCTGTGCTTGCACTGCCGTGTTTCGATCTGACGGGTAAATAAAGCCAGTATAATGATAACCTGTGAGATATTTTAATTTAGTCCTCAAAGTGACATCGCATCCATAGCCTCCTTTGTTTGTAGTTGGTTGAAGGTGTCCACGGACAGCGGTAGCCACTTAGCATCAAGTGGACTGTACGTCCGTTTGTGACTTCAGTTTTATATAAAAAAAAATTGTTTCTTAATACTACCCCAAATAAAACTTTAAAATAAATATACAAAAATAACGTTAGGTTTTAGAATTGATGTTTTTAACACAATTAAAAGCGTTTAATTGAAAGCAAATAATTTTCCAAAGTATAATTTGCATGTACTCTTCCTTCGACTGATTTAAATTACAATAACTGTTCTGTTTTTAAATATTTCTCACCTTTAAAGTTACATCTATTAAATCTTTTACTGTTTTCCGATTTTGTGTTTTATAAGACAATTCAAAACTTTTGAATTTTATTGATCGCGTAAATTCATATTTTTGAAATTTATTGACAATAATACGAGTATGTAATGGGTCGATAATTTATGGGTATATCGAAAAAGAATATACGAAAAAACGTATATTCATTTTCGATGTCTACATGTTAATAATCGTATTTGTTATTTCTATTCAGTGTCTTATTTCAAAACTAAATATATCGTCATCATAATTTTGTGATAACTCTTATATTTACATGTTAGTTCCTGGTTTAACATTTTTATACTCGTACCTATCTTAATGTATGGTAATTCAGATGACTAGTATAATTATCAATGTTGTTACAATGTTCAACTTTAACTCCCTTTTTTTTAATTAAAATATTACTGCCGACCATAGTTCTATTTGCTGAGTAGTATAGGAAGATAATCCAATACACCATATTACCTCGTGGGTATCATAAAGAGACGACAGGGAAATAAAACAGGGGATGGACGGCAGCATCTTTCCGATAAATAACACAAGTGGTAAAATTAAAAATTTTGTGCAACCAATTTCAATATAAACTATCAAGTATAATTCAAAAATTACTGGTCGGACCTTGATCAAATTTATATGGGACCAGCGAGCACCAGAGAAGCACTAGCCTTCAAAAAAAGAAGAATCATTGTAATCGGTTCACCGAGAAAAAAGTTATCAGGTATAACACACATAAAAAAACAGTCTAATTGAGCACCTCCTCCTTTTTGAATTCGGTTGACAATATAACAAAAAAACTGCACTTGTCAATGCGCGTGGCAGTCGTGGTAACTATGGCAAATATCCCGTTTGAGGCAATCTGTGGATGCGGCCTGTGTTCAACTGTGGTCTTTGATAGACCGTAATGTTGATTACACATAATTAATTATGATGGTGTATTTAGGCTTAGTACCACATAGTAATGACTTTCGCATGGACGCATAGTCATTGTAAAAATCAAAAATCCATTTTGTCCTAACCTGTTTCTAAAGGAGTTTAAAATGGAAACATGAATAGTGCTGATGAGTCAGTTATTTTCGAGAAATCTCTACAATAATTATCTTCAAAATTTACAATATAAGATGTGACTAAAAAACTGGATCCATGAAGGGGGTGTGATGTGAAATTAAGTTTCGTAATACTGCGATTCCACAATTTCCTACCATCTTCCAACTCTTTTTAAACGTGAATTTAAACCTGGTGTTTCTATTGCAGTGCCGCGTACGACACTGTTACCCAGCAGAACGTCGCGATCAAGAAGCTGTCACGGCCCTTCCAGAATGTAACGCACGCGAAGCGAGCCTACAGGGAGTTTAAACTAATGAAGCTCGTAAATCACAAAAATGTAAGTATAAACCGCGCGTAGAAGGTTTGCAGATGACGTTGTAATGTAGAGCAGTGCACGCGGCATGTACAATATGTAACAAAGACCCTGTGCGTTATCAGAATCCGTATTCACACGTATTGAAATAACTTTACTTCAGAAAACTCGACCATAAAAATTGAATATATTTTTATTTGCAAATTGTTATTTTATTACGAGTACCTTTGCATTGGCCAGGGAGTATGAATATATTCAATTTCATCGATACCAGTTTCTCCACACTGAGTCAATAATTATTCCTATGGCACAACGTATACGCTATTACATTAAAGTCCCAGAAAATATACAAGGTTAAATATTTTACTAAACAAAAGCTGTATAAAAAGGGTTATTGTAATATAAATGAACACATGGTTGATAATAACCCATGAGGTGGTCGCTTTCAAGCTGTTTCTCCAAAAAGTTTTGTAAATAGTTTATACGACCTTTATTATTGTATAATTTACTTTAAAAAATAACAGTCCCACTGAGTTTCTTGGTGGTTCTTCCCAAAACAGAGGTATTTCTCCGAGTCAGTGGTAAAAGCAAAACAAAAGAAATTTTGAAAATTTTTTGTAGTTTTTTTGTCACGTTTTTTATCATATTCGTGGATTGTCATTCGAATTTGAGCTATATTCAAAATTTAAAGTTTCTAGTTCATCGGGAAGTCAATTTAAAATCAATTACTAAATTCCACACGGAACGACAGACAAACAAGAAAGTGACTTAATAAAACATGGTAGAATGACTTTCAATAAGAATTAATTGTTATATTGAATTAAAAAAAAATCTATTCTATTCTATCCTATTCGTTGCTAGCGGTACTGCGGGGTTAGTCAAGTTGACTTTACAATAATTGTGTTAACAGTTGTAAATGATATTAGAACTATTAACACTAATAGATAACTATAAAAATGAATGAGAATGACATACTCGTACTATCTCTACGGCACATGACTCAACGTGATTTCATTAATTAAATCTATGTATGTATGTATATATGGTAAGACATGCAGAAAGTCAATGGATGCGGGTGGCTCGGGATCGTGCTTTGTGGCATTCCTTGCGGGAGGCCTATGTTCAGCAGTGCACTTGTGAAGGGCTGTAATGATGATGATGATGTGATGTATGTATGTATAATGGAATTTTGTCATTCAGTTTCCACTCACTTCTGGACGTCTGAACAATCTGAATATTAAGACAAATTAAGAACCGATGACAACGTAATAATTTTATGACTATGGACTGATATCCTCACTAGGGTCATCATATCTAATGATGAATGCTTGTGGTTTGAGTTTTCTTAAATATATCAGTTTAAGATAACTCAATAGTTTTCCATCACTGTTAACGGTTGTAGAAGTGTAAATCAGTTTTATTATCGTTTATTCGTTCTTTTATTCGTACAAAACTAACATATTAAAATTTTGAATAAATCTTGAAAATACCCATTCAAAAAAGTCTTTGAAAGCGATCGAATTTTTAGGTATATTTCAATTGTTTCATCTCTCCAGATAATCGGACTGCTAAACGCATTTACACCGCAAAGAAGCCTCGAGGAGTTCCAGGACGTGTACTTGGTGATGGAGCTGATGGACGCCAATCTCTGTCAAGTAATCCAAATGGATCTGGACCACGAGAGGATGAGCTACCTCCTGTATCAGATGCTGTGTGGAATCAAGCATTTGCATCTTGCAGGAATCATTCATCGGGTAAGTAAAAATATAACTTTTAATATAAAAATAGGAAAAAATCATCATGTAAAAGTCTGGAGCCTCATCGAAGCATACACACAGTATAAGATCTTTTTCTGCCGACTTCCAACAAGGAGACGGTACTCAATTCGACTGTATGCTTTTTTTATGTGTGTTACCTCATAACTTTTTACTGGGTGAACCGATTTCGATGATTCTTTTTTTATTTGAAAGCTGGTACTTGTCGTGTGGTCCCATATGAATTTGATCAAGGTCAGACCAATGGTTATTGAGTTATTCTTAATAACTTATATTGAAGTCGGCTGTACAACATTTTGAATTTTAAATTATTCTTTACACTCACTGTACAAAACACAGCAGCATTAAGCTGCTATTTTTCGCTCGTATTCTAAGCGTTGTCCTTCCCCGGTTGTGATGACCCATTCGTGCTACTACCTCAATATAGCGGTAGCATGACTACCATGTAAAAACGGTCGTCATAGTCGCTTCTTACGACACCCACGGGACAAAACGGGGGGATGGGTTGTCATAGAGTGAACTACAGCACTGTTAACTCTACTAAGGCCTTTTAAGAAGATATAATGTTACTGAATGATGGTGATAAAATGTTCTCCATTAAGTAATACCAGCGTCAATTAGCTACTTAATTATGCTGTTTCGTATGGTGAGTGTAGAGAACTGGAGACACCTTTTTATTGGAAATGAGGCATTCCATCTTAGTACTCAGGAATGACAACGTATCCACATTTTGATTCTTAATCGAGGATAAATGTAGACGTCTATGGGCCACAGCATCCACTTACCATCAGGTGGACTGTGTGCTCGTTTGTCACCCTAATTCTATAAAAAAGTCACATGAAAACTTGCACTGGCTACTGGGAGCACTGGTCACCACACGGTACCTACAGTATGTAATGTTAAATTCCAAAGAAATATCTAATTTTAAGAAACAATTAAAATATGACTCGTAACTCTAAAGGTTTAATTGGAGTTTTGGCGGGAACTTGATAGTCGACGGAATGTTGCTCCTGCTTTATTGTTTAAATAATGGTTTGAAGTGGATTTTGATACGTAAAAGTGATGCGATTTTACGTATTAAGTATCTACGCATGTAAACTATTAGAGGAAACGACGAAACAAGTGCTTCGATGTTGACTTCAAGTTATTTTGATAACTTGGCGCTTTATGAACTTGAGATGTCGTCAAAATCTCCCAAAAAATTCGCAATGTGACTCATCAGCATTTTGTAAGAAAAAATCAACAAAAAACGAAGATCCCGAATGAAATGAAGACATTGCTTAAAGGACAAACATCCAAGCCAAAACTCTTAATTAAAAAAATAAAAATAAAGGTGTTATTTCTGTTGTGAGGTTCTACAAAGTGTGTTACATTTTTGCTTCTTACAAATTTTACACGAACCTTGAGTTTTCTGAATAATTTGATATTGTGGCTTGAAGGATCTGAAGCCGTCCAACATCGTGGTGAAGAGCGACTGCACGCTGAAGATCTTGGACTTTGGGCTGGCTCGCACGGCGGGGACTACGTTCATGATGACTCCCTACGTCGTCACCAGATACTACCGCGCCCCAGAGGTAACCTCGCTTTTTTTTTTGGAAAAAAATTGTAAAAACTATTTTTTATATTTTGTATGTTATCCCTGAATTAGCAATTTATATTAAAGACTAACGACCTGCCTCGACTTCGCCTTGGTAGGTTTTAGTAATGTGTGTTATTTAGATGTAAACATAAAGACCATTTAATATCTTCAAGTTTTTCTGATAAAACATAACCTAGATCATTTCTGGAACTGCTCTCTATCTGTTCGAGAAGTTACATTACAATTGGGCCAGCCATTCCGCAAAATTAGCCTGAACAGACAGTCAGACAAAAAATTAAATATGGTGATTCATGTCATTCATGGTAACAAGTAGTCTAAAATATTATAAATTAGAAAATACGTATAGTTGTTAATACATGTTTGACCATTGTTTATATTAAAAAAATATTTCGACACATGAGAATGTCCGCCATATTTCGCATTCGCGCAATGATGATGATGACGATGGTGGTGGTGGTGGTAGTGATGATGATGACGACGAATTTCCATGCAAAATAAATTTCATCCCTAAGGACTGAAATGAAGTGTCTCTCAGCCTATAGTTATACTACCTGTTAATACTTTTCTACCGACTTGAAAAAGGAGACGATACTCAATTCGATTGTATGTTTTTTTATGTGTGAACTCATAACTTGGCTTAGCTTTCCATTGACGTCAGTAGAGTTTGGTGTTGATACGTATTTTTACAGAAAGATTACACTATTATAAGTACACACACAATGTCTCAATATACGGAAACGCGTAATTTTTGAGAAAAGAATAATTGAAAATCAATTATTCTTGCAATGTTTACGTCTAATTTGCTAATAAACTGGCGCCATTTTGTAATGTCATTGTCGACGTCAATAGGGATGTCGATTCTTTCCGAAAAAGGTCGATTTTTAAATCGATTCAAATCGTAAGCTGATGTATCGGTTCACAAAAAATCGGTTTCTAAAATGTCTATATTTTTTTAATGTTTCTATTTATAATGTAAATATAAACCCATTTTATGAAAAACAAGAAAGATACCATGATAAATGATCTCTTATTGAAATTTGTTTTATTTAACAGTACCTATTAGGGCAGATAACAAATAAAATAGGTTAGGTTCAACTTATGTCAAAGAACCGAATTGATTGACTCCGACTCCACCTGGTACGAGTCTGTCCTACCCCTAGAGTGGTTTTATAGAGCCGGAGGCGCGTAGGGGGAGCAGCCTCCGCCTCCGCAGCTTTGGCTTGTTGGTCGCCTTCGGCGACCAGCCTCAGCCGCTCCGGCTCGTCCGATGCCTACGATTTGTTACGCTAAGGCGTAGAGGTTGCTCTTCCCGCAGCGCCGGAGACGTAGCAGTCTCAAAATAGATACAGAAATCCTTATGAATCAGTCCCCTTATTTTTTTATGATGAAGGGGATTTTTTTCTCATAACATGGATTTATATTTACATTATAAATGCAAACATGAAAAAAATATCGATATTTTAGAAATCGATTTTTTAGGAATCGATACATCAGCTTACGATTTGAATCGATTTAAAAATCGACCTTTTTCGGAAAGAATCGACATCCCTATTGACGTCGACAATGACATTACAAAATGGCGCTAGTTTATTAGCAGATTAGACATAAACATTGCAAGAATAATTGATTTTCAATTATTCTTTTCTCAAAAATTACGTGTTTCCGTATATTGAGACTTTGTGTGTGTGCTTATAATAGTGTAATCTTTCTGTAAAAATACGTATCAACACCAAACTCCACTGACGTCAATGGAAAGTCGTACTCATAACTTTTTACTGGGTGAACCGATTTCGATGATTCTTTTTTTATTTGATCAAGGTCTGACCAATAGTTTTTGAGTGTTCTTAATAACTTATATTGAAGTCGGTTGTACAACATTTTAAATTTTAAATTATTAAATCAGAACTCGGACACCTCGAAAGACAAAGCGTAGAATCAAGTGGTGATATTCAATTTCGGCCACTATATCCAACATTTCGGAAGCTAAAATAAACTACGAGAAGATGTGGAGGCATTGAGGTAGTGTGGCGGACTCCTCACAGCTCTAACCTTCTTGGAAATAGGATGAGATCGTGGGTTCTTGGAAAGGGCACCGAGAGAACATCATGGTTATTACACCACGGTACAATGCTAAGTCAACCGCTCAATTTCACCATCGCACGTTGCCACAAAACTCGCGATACCATCCGTACCATCTGGATGATTGGCGGTCACCACTGTGCGATTTACAAAAAGTTTTCTTCCTCGCACAACTTCCTAGTGGAATCGAGTACCTACTATAAGTGATTTTTCCGGACCGATACGATTTAGGGACCTTCAAGAGAAGAGCCCACTCTTTTTTGTAAGGCCGGCAACACATCTGACATGCCCTTGGTGTTGTAGTTGTTCATGGGTGGTGGTAGTCACTTACCATCAGGTGAGCCGCATGCTCGTTTGCCCACTCTTATGTAAAAAAATGTGGTGCAATTATGTACTATGTAACTTCAAATAATTCTTTTTTCTTTCTTTCTTTATCTTTGGGAAGTATTTAGGCTATTACTTCACTTATACTGTGCTGTTTTTTAAGGTGATCCTGGGCATGGGTTACACAGAAAATGTAGATATCTGGTCCGTGGGCTGTATCATGGGCGAGATGATTCGCGGCGGCGTGCTCTTCCCCGGGACAGATCACATCGATCAGTGGAACAAAATTATAGGTAAGAGCTGTTCCTCTTGGATTGTTTTATTCTTATTACTTACTAGCTGTCCCTCGCGACTTCGCCCGCGTGGAATTTATTGCGATTGGATTTCATGGGTTTTACTTTTTTTGCGCGGAAACCTAATTATTTCCTTAAAATAAAAATTGACTAAGTTACTCCTTATAACATAATAACTATCTGCCAGTGAAAGTCCCATCCAGGTTTTTGCGTGACGCGTGTTCAAACAGACGTTGTGTTAGTTTTATAATTTATACTTATATACTTATAATATAATAAAGCGGAAGTTTTTTTGTTTTTTTATTTGTTTAAACGCGCTAATCTCTGGAACTACTAGTCCGATTTGAAAAATTCTTTTTGTATATTATAGCCAGATTCATGTGGAATAGTATAGGCTATCTAGCATTAAGCCATGTTACTCAGCTAGCCTTAAATATAGATATTTGTTAAGCAAGTCAGTAGAAAAAATAACTCCCGAAATGATTTATCTGCGTACGCTGGTGTTATCGTTAGGGATACGTAAATACAATGTTCTAGAAAAATATAGATCTTTACTCCGTCTAAAAAAAAGTCCGCGATACCATATGTCTATTTCTTATACATAAGCCATAATTAGGTATTTTGTGACAAAAAAATATTGAAAATTTAAAAGTGATTTATGAGCGTTATTATTAGGCATGGCCTATTTATCCTTACGAACGAAAGTTACTTCATCATCAAGACAATTTTATGACTATAAACTTTGTTCTTTATACCATGTTATTTGGACGCATAGTTTAGGAGATAATGTAAAATTAAAATAATTCAATACTTGGCTGGGCGCGCGAACGATACATAAACCCTAGCCGCCCGGTGAGAACTGCGAGAACTGCTCAACCGGGAGGGGAGGGAAGTGGATCAAACTTAACTTCGCTCTACATCATACATAATATGCCGACAGATAAAAGTACTCCATTAATTATGCCAATTGCTATCAAATAAAATATTTAATTGCAATTATAAAATGCTTGAACTAGGTCATGTCGCGTCCGATACGTGATGACGCGAGTGAAACCGCGGGGAACAGCTAGTAGTATATATTTCTTTAGAATAACCAACTAGAAATTGTATTATAAATATTTACTCTGTGATGTACTTACTGGTGAACTTAATGAATGAACATAACGGTGCCCGAATACTGTTATCACGGTACGCATCGAAGACGTTTTATTTTTGTTTATTAAATAATTTTAATTAAATATATTGGAATGTCGTAATTCACTTTTCAAATGATATAAACAACTTTTGGCTTTCTGTCACTATATTTTAATATTTTTGTAAAAATATCCACTACCCCTTACCGTCCCGTGGGTGTCGTAAGAGGCGACAAAGGGAAACAATCAAGGAGATAGACAGCACCGTTTTTCTGATAACAACTAGAAAATAAAAAAGTACAGTTTGCAACCCGCCAGCCAAACTTGTCACCTATGGCATATTTCCCTTTTATGACGTAATCTATAGGGAGGCCTATGCAATGAGGGCTAATAATATTCCGATCTCTTTGTTTATTTATTTTTAATCTTAATAATATAAAATATAGCTACAGAATAGTACAGAAAGAAACATTAAATTTGACATTATTCGAACAAATTAACTTCCCCGTTATGAAATCTGTCAAATATTATACCTCAATTTTAAGTGGCGCCGCCCTGGTGGCAGAAATTCGTGAATGCCCTCGTTAATTTATTTATCCAAGTATTAAATAAATAAATAAAATAATTCAATCGTTTTATGAAAATAATTTTGATTTCACAAAGGGTCATTCGGCTTATAACTGACGCCGGTGTTGAGCTTATTAAACATATTTTTTAAGTCTAGAATTCAGATGATGCTTTGGGTATATTTTATGACATTTCCAAGGCCTTCGACTGTGTTCACCATGAGACATTAATAAGGAAACTGCAGCACTGTTGCAGCACTATGGTGTAAATAACATAGCGCTGATTATTTTATAATTAACTAATAGAACGCAGAAAATTATTATCAATGGTATGGTAAACGTTCTTCCGGTTCATTGTACTAATGTACGTGTTCCTCAAGGCTCAATTCTCGGCCCATTCATATTTCTAGTCAATTTTAATGACTTACCTTCTTTTGTTTTCTATTCTATTCTATTGCTTAGATAAAATTATAGTAGAGGTTAGGAAGAGTTATTGTATCGTAATTTTTCTTCCCTTTTCTCTTTACTTTCTCACAAGTAGACATTTCTCCACTGTTAATGCAATGTGGATAAACGTGGTAGAGTCATAATTTTATGTCTGTAGAATGAAAGGGTCAGTTCAACGGGGAAAAACGACGGTCTCACAGAATACCAGCGTGAAATAACAGCTTAATGCTACGTTGTTCCGTGTGGCGAGTGCCGAGAACGGGAAACCCCTTTTAGCTGACTTAAAAAAAGGAAGATGTTTACAATTCAACTGTATGTTTTTTTTTGTATGTATATTAGTGCACCTCACTAATATTCGGTGATTGCACTCAAATCTCAGCGCAGTCCATCACCACCTCAAGGCTGAGAAGCCGCACCTACTTTCCTTGACGGAGACCCAAATTAGACGTCCATTGCATGCGGCGTATCTTGACTATCCTGGATTCTCCCTGGAGCACAAATTCCATCTACGTGTCGGAGTCTGTGTGTACGTCTGTAATTATATTTGCTTCTAGTGTCTCCGTCACCTTGGAGATCTCACTTTTTACATAATCTGGGTAATAGTAGATACAGATATTAGTATTGATAAAGTCCCTTATTCAACGCAAAACTAGGCACAAGAAAGAACGGTGAGCTGAAAGTAGGGAATTTCGGAATAGGGCAACAGAACCCAAGGGGCCAGTAGCTGGCCGACTTCATGGAGAAAGAGGGACTCTTTATGATGAACTCTTTCTTCCAGAAGCGGCCCCACAGGAAGTGGACCTGGTCGAGCCCCGACGGTTCGACAAAAAATGAGATTGACTTTATTATGACGACCAGACGACAACTCTTCAGTGATGTCTCAGTGATCGCGAGGGTGAAAACCGGCAGCGATCACCGAATGGTGAGTGCATGGGTGGAGGCACACTGAACCTAAACGTTAAGTTGGAGAGGTCACGTCTAATGAAGTCAACGCTCCGTCCCCCTCGTGCTCTAATACAAAGTCCCGAAACCTTTCAGCTTGAGCTACGAAACCATCTTCAGTGCCTAGAAGACTGCAATGAAGTGGACGATATTAATGACAAGCTCGTGGAAACTGTCCATGCGGTCGGAGCTAAGTTCTGCAAGACCCGTCGCAGAAGAACACAAAAACTCTCCGATCACACTCTCAATCTCATGGCTGTTACACGGGAGATGAAACTACATTCTTCAACAGATTTGACAGCATACAGGCAACTGAATAGACAGATCTCCAAATGCATGCGACGGGACTTACGCAATTTCAATACAGCTTGTATTGAAGAAGCGATCGAGCGGAACCAAGGCTCCAAAGTCTTTGCCAGAGATCTGTCTGCCAGAAAGAGCCAACTGTCAAAGCTGAAGACCGAATGTGGTAGCATCGTTTTCGGGGCACCTGAGATTTTGAGTGAGATTGAGAGGTTCTATGGGCAGCTGTACACGTCATCGTTGGAGACACACGCAAGTGTGAGTAACGATCCAAGAGCGAGTCTTATCCGACACTATTCCGAAGATATCACGGACGTCAGTCTGAGCGAGATTAGAATGGCTCTCCAAGCACCTTAAAAACGGCAGGGCCCCAGGCGAGGATGTAATTACAGCGGAGCTTCTGAAAGCGGGTGGAAAACCGGTACTTGAAGTCCTTCAGCAGCTCTTTAATTCCGTCCTCCATGGTGGCATCACACCGGAGGCGTGGAGCAGAAGTGCGGTGCTCTTGTTCTTCAAGAAAGGTGACAACTCTTGAAGAACTACAGACCGATTTCCCTTCTGAGCCGCGTCTACGTGCTGTTTTCGAGAGTCATTACGAAACGTCTCGCGCGCAGACTTGACGACTTCCAGCCTCCCGAACAAGCCGGTTTCCGAAAGGGCTTTACCACCATAGACCACATACATACCCTTCGGCAAATTGTACAGAAGTCCGAGGAGTACAATTTGCCACTATGTCTGGCGTATGTGGACTATGAGAAATCCTTTGATTCCGTCGAAATTTGAGCGGTGCTGCAGTTCCTTCAGCGGTGCCATGTTGACTGTCGGTATATCGAAGTGCTGAAGTGTTTGTACAGTAGAGCTACGATGGCTATCCGAGTACAGAACCAGAGCACGAAACCTATCCAATTGCAGAGAGGTGTAAGACAGGGTGGCGTTATATCCCCGAAACTCTTCACCGCTGCATTGGAAGACGTTTTCAAGCTTCTGGACTGGAAAGGATACGGTATTAACATCAATGGCGAGTACATCACTCACCTTCGATTTGCCGACGATATAGTCCTTATGGCAGAATCGCTGGAGGACCTAAGCACCATTCTCAATGACCTCAATAGTGTCTCCCAACGAATAGGTCTTAGGATAAACATGGACAAAACAAAGATCATGTTTAATGATCATGTCACACTTATGCCGGTAGTTGTTGGGAGCACTAAGCTCGAAGTTGTTGACGAGTATGTTTACCTGGGACAAACAGTCCGACTAGGTAAGTCCAACTTCGACCGAGAGGTCAATCGACGGATTCAACTCGGCTGGGCAGCGTTCGGGAAACTACGACACATCTTCTCGTCAGACATACCTCAAAACCTTAAAACGAAATTGTACAACCAGTGCGTGTTGCCAGTGATGACATCTTCTCGTCAGACATACCTCAAAACCTTAAAACGAAATTGTACAACCAGTGCGTGTTGCCAGTGATGACTTACGGATCTGAGACGTGGTCCTTCACTGCTGGCCGTATGAGGAAGCTCAAGGTCGCTCAGCGAGCTATGGAGAGGACTATGCTCGGAGTTTCTCTGCGTGATAAACATAGAAATGAGTATATCCGCAGTAGAACCAGAGTAACCGACATAGCCCAACGGATTAGTAAGCTGAAGTGGCAGTGGGCCGGCCATATAGCTCGAAGAACCGACAACCGTTGGGGAAGAAAGGTTCTTGAGTGGCAGCCTCGTACCGGTAGGCGAAGTGTAGGGCGACCCCCCACGAGATGAAGTGACGACCTGGTAAGACATGCAGGAAGTCGATGGATGCAAGTGGCTCAGGACCGTGCTTTGTGGCATTCCTTGGGGGAGGCCTATGTTCAGCAGTGGACTTATGAAAGGCTGTAATGATATTGATGAAAATCCCTTATGTCTGTGTCTATCGATCGCACAGCGGTGACCAGGAGACAACTCGATTATTTGATCACCTTAGTGAGGCTGCTGATGTGGCGCTACATCGGTATCCTACAGCATAGCTGGCCTCTTTGGGGGACTTTAACGCCTGTCACCAAGACTGGCTGTTACCTTTCCAGAAGACTGACCATATGGGAAGAGAAGCATGGAGTTTTGCCTTGACGCTAGATATATTGACGGTCATACAGCTTGGATCTTCTACTGACTACCGAACCAGACAGACGTACAGGTCTCTTACATACCTCCCTACCTTTGGGTATATCTGACCACTGTCTGCTGAAATCTGTATCGCCATATTCTCCACCTGATTACGAGTTCCAAGGTGTTTGACGAATATGGCGATATAAGTCAGCAGATTGGGATGAGATGCAACACTTTTTTGCATCATATCCTTGGCGGGAAGTCTATTTCTCTGCTGAGAGTCCGACAAGCTGCGTGGATGCGATAACCGATATGTTGCGTCAAGCTATGTAGTATTTTATTCCTTTTTCTGATGCTCCCACCGATAGCAAAGCTCGCCCATGGTTTAACACTGAATGCACCCAAGCTGAAAAGCGTAAGCATTTAGTGTATCTATCCTGGGTTGACGTTGAAACCGCAGAACTCCGGATCTAAGCTCCAAGAAGAGAGCTTTCAACGAGGCCGCAAAGTCCTACAAAAATGCGTTACGGAAAGTCAGTCTCGATCGCATTAAACATATTGGCGCTTGGCACTAGAGCTTTTTAGTCTTTTGCCAAAGCAGTCGAGACAAAATTTTGTCGGCCTACACTGCCTGCGCTGGTAAAACCTGATGACACACTAGCGCATACAGCTAAAGATAAAGTGAACTCGTGACTGCTGATACGCTTGTTCCGCCTGTTTTGCCTCTCATTTAGGACTGGAATAGTGCCAAAATCCTGGAATCTGGCTAACATGTGAGCCTGTCCCAAAATAAGGCAGCCGTGCCAACCCTGTCAATTATTAGCCAATCAATTACCTCAATACTCTGCAAGATTATGGAGCGTATATTGAATCCCCGCTTAATGGCATTCCTAGAACAGAATGACCTCCTCGGTGACCGCCAGTACGGGTTTCGCTGAAATCGGTCAGCTGGGGTCCTTCTAGCGTATGCTACGCATGTTTAGAGTGAGGCACTCTAGAACAGTGGGGAACTTTTTCCCTTGATGTCTCTAAGCCTTTGACAGAGTTTGGAATGCTAGCCTTTTTGGTAAGCGTCCGATTGACTGGGTAAAGGACTTTCTGAGTGAATGGTCACCCCGGGTCTTCGTCGATGGCTGCTCATCCGATCTTGTGGCGATTTACGCCGTTGATACTCAGGGATCCGTTCTCTCCGCAACTCTCTTCCTGCTGCATATTAATGATCTGCTTATGCCCGGTGTCTAAGGGTATGCAAACGACAGCAAAGTCGTGGGGACATACCAACCAAGTCCTCGTGCCAGTTGGGATCAAATCCAGGTCCGAAAGGGTGGTTGTGGTTTAGCGTGTTAATCTCCCACTACAGGCAGTCTAAGTCTATGGGGCGATGCCAATCTTGCAAAATTCAACACCTCAAAAACCCAAGCATGTCTCTCCACTGCAAAAAGGAGCCAGCTCACCTTGGCTCCTTCTTTCCAAAATATATCACTGGCATTCACCGACCGCCTTCTGTTATTGGGGGTTGAGATATCCTCAAGCCTGAACTTCGGGGAGTTCATTGAGTTCAAGGCCAGAGCAGCTGCAAGGAAGCTAGGATTTCTTGCAAAGCAGCGGCGGTACTTCACGCCGGGACAGCTGCTTACTTTATATAAAGCGCAAGTCCGGTCGTGCATAGAGTACTGCTGCCTTATATGTGCAGGTGCTGCAAAATGCCACCTAGCAGCTTTGGACTCAATGGAAAAACTTGCTAAGAGACTTATTGGTAACTGGAATCTGGTTAAAACCAATCTTACCAGCTTTGAACACTGGCGCAAAGTAGCAAGCCTTTCGGTTTTCTACAGGATGCTTTTCGGAGAGTATGCGCAGGAATTGCATAGTGTAATTCATCCCTCTCCCGTCCACCATCGGACACCCAGACGTTCGGCCACCCTTTCGTTGCTGTACAGCAAAAGAGTGGAATAAGTTGCCAACAACTGTGTTTCTATCCGATTACAATGTGGGTGTCTTCAAGGCAAGAGTGAATAGGCTTTTGTTAAGTCAGTGCACTTCACCATCTTAGGCTACATGACCACATACCATCAGGTGGAATTGTAGTTAAGTGTTGATTTAGAATAGTAAAAAAAGTGATATCTTCGTCAATTGTGAACCGATTTTGATGAAATGGGTAATATCATACCGGAAATTTTTTTACTGGAATTGAAGCATTCTATCTTAGTCCTCAAAGGTGATAACGTATCCGTATCGTATCAGTATCGTATAATAACTATTTTGACGAAATTAAAATTGAGATTTGTTTCTTAGTCGATTCAAAATAGTAAGAAAATAACTTTCAATAAAAATTAAAAGACTAACTAAAGTTAATTAATAAATTACTGGTAACGAGGCATTCCGTCTTAAGACGGAATTCTCAGAGTAAGTGCATTTCGATTCGTAATCAAAGATAAAATATTTGGACCTCAGTATCCACTTGCCATCAGGACCGCGGGCTCTCCCCCAAGGAATGCTACAAAGCACGGTTCTGAGCCACTTGCATCCATCAACTTCCTGTTTCTCTTACCAAGTCGTTATTGCATCTAGTGAGAGAATGTCTTAAACTTTGCTTACCTTCTATAAAAAGCGTGTGGATGTGTTTGTGTGTGCAGAGCAACTGGGCACGCCGTCTGCAGCGTTCATGGCGCGACTGCAGCCCACGGTTCGCAACTACGTGGAGAACCGGCCGCGCTACGCCGGCTACAGCTTCGAGCGCCTCTTCCCCGACATACTCTTCCCCAGCGACAGCAACGAGCACAATCGCCTCAAGGTACGCAAACAACCTCCTCAAAGTACGCTTTGGTTTCACAGCACGCAACCGATTTGACATGGATCCTTCTGGTATCGCTAAAATTGATGTGTATTTAACAGATGCTCAGCGTTGAAGGAAAACATTGCAAGAATATTTACGTGGTAGAGCCATGCTGCAACTATATTATGGTTTTAGCACGAAAAGATTGGCTCGACCGGGATAGAACCACTCTCTCACAGAATACCTGCGTGAAATAGCAGCCTAATGCTGCCGTGTCTTGTATGCTGAGTGTAGAGAAGAGAGTGTAGGAAAGGATCCCTTTTTCCTGGAAACGAGGCATTCCATCTTAGTCTTCACAGGTGACAACGCATCTGCATTTTGATTTATAATCGAGGATAGATGTGGATGTCTATGGGCTACAGCAACCGCTTACCATCAGGTGGACTGTGTGCTCGTTTATCACCCTTATCGTATAAAAAAGGTGTCCAATAGGCCGCATCATCCACTTACCATCAGTTGGACTGTGTACTCGCTTTTCATCCTTAATCTATAAAAAAATTGTTATCATTGTTATTATTTTAAGAATGTTTTTATATTACAACGTGTCCTGTTTGTCGGTGCAGGCGTCGCAGGCGCGGGACCTGCTGTCGCGGATGCTGGTCATCGACCCCGAGCGCCGCATCTCCGTGGATGAGGCGCTGCTGCATCCCTATATCAACGTCTGGTACGACGAGGGAGAGGTCAATGCGGTGAGTACCATCACAATTATACACTATATTATATTACGAACATATTTGTTTAAAATCCGTTACAAAATTATACATGTTGAAACTACGCGTTGGTTAGTGTAGTAATCGCACGAGTCCAGTACCAGATAAATTAAAATAATCAATTAGGATCTACAAAGAATTTTATGTAAATCCAAGCACCTCGTTTAGAACATCGCCAACTTAAAATCTCGCGCCCAATAGCTTGTATGATAAATCCGACTCGAGGGACCAAGTGCAATAATCGACAGATAATAGAAAGCAACACCTCATCATTCTTGGTTTATTAATGATTAGTAACTGTAAATCTCTGAATAAAATAACATAATGCATATTTTTACTAAGAATTATTTTTAACAACTTGATACAACTTCTAATCTTTATTTGAAGTAATACTCAATTTTATTTTAATTGTAGAGGTCACTTAAAATAAATATTCGGATAATTGTTCAAACTTAACCACGCTACTCGCTAGCCTAAGTTATTACAATAATAATTTTTGAAATTAAGAAAATTTTCATCTTCACAAATTGATGACTACAAATAAAACTTTGGTATTATCAGCAAAAACCAGAAAATTGTTTTTTGTAGTATTGCGATCATTGATGAACATAATGAACAATTGAGGACTTATTTATGAACCCTGAGGGACTCCTGATAAAACAAAGATTCTGTGAAAGACGTCAATCTTTTAAAATAATCATTTATAATCTCCTTAAAATAAAAGTTTATTTCTAATGTTGACGTCATATATCTTTTTTAGGAGTGATGGCATGGTGAATGTGATCATATGCTTTACTGAAATCGTCTCATTATTACACCCTTTCACAAGTCCACTGCTGAACATAGGCCTCCCCCAAGGAAAGCAAAGCACGATTCTGAGCATCCATCGACTTCCTGCATGTCTTACCAGGTCGTCACTCCATCAAGTGGGGAGTCGCCTTACACTTCGCCTACCGGTACGAGACTGCCACTCGGGAACCCTTTTTCCCCATCGGTTGTCGGTTCTTCGAGCTATTGACCGGCTCATGTCATTGTCAATTTTAATTTATAAATTAACCAATTATGATTCGAGATATGGCTGATGTAGCGTTTTTCATACAAAATAAAGGTGAGTAGTGAGCACACAGTCCACCTGTTGGTAATTGGATGTCTATATAGACATCTACACTATCTATAACTACTATGTCCCATAGACCATAGCTGTAATATAGCTGTAACATAATTCTACCACGTATAAAAAAACCTATTAAATAACAATTCAAATCATACTTGGTCAATTTATAAGTTGAGTTTGCGATGAAGCATAATTTATAAATTGATTGGTTATGATTTAAGCTCGTGGCAGAGTCACGCTGCAGCTATGTTATGGTTGAGGGACAAATAGTTCGCCTCGATTGGAGAAGGACCACGCTCTTACAGTACATCAGCGAAAAATAACCGCTCAATGTATGTTGTCGTATTTGTATGTTGTAGCTCTATGTATGTGCTGTATGAGTATAGAAAACCAAAGATCGTTTTTACTGGATACGAGGCATTTTATCTTAGTCTACATGGGTGACAACGCATCTGTATTTTGATTATTAATCAAAAATAAATGTAGATATTTATGGGCCGCAACATCCACTTAGTATTAAGTGGATTGTAAGCTTGTCTTGTTGCTGTACCTTTATTCTATAAAAAAATATAGGTGACATAGTATGTATGTGTTTGTGTTGCGTGTTACCGCAGCCGGCGCCCGCGTCGTACGACCACTCGGTGGACGAGCGCGAGCACACGGTGGAGCAGTGGAAGCAGCTCATCTACCAGGAGGTGGTGGAGTACGCGGCGCCGCCCCCCGCGCCCGCGCACCCGCCGCCGCCCGACCACACCCAGCCCGCGCTCACCACATAGGTACCGCACACACCCAGCCCGCGCTCACCACATAGGTACCGCACACACCCAGCCCGCGCTCACCACATAGGTACCGCACACACCCAGCCCGCGCTCACCACATAGGTACCGCACACACCCAGCCCGCGCTCACCACATAGGTACCGCACACACCCAGCCCGCGCTCACCACATAGGTACCGCACACACCCAGCCCGCGCTCACCACATAGGTACCGCACACACCCAGCCCGCGCTCACCACATAGGTACCGCACACACCCAGCCCGCGCTCACCACATAGGTACCGCACACACCCAGCCCGCGCTCACCACATAGGTACCGCACACACCCAGCCCGCGCTCACCACATAGGTACCGCACACACCCAGCCCGCGCTCACCACATAGGTACAGCACACACCCAGCCCGCGCTCACCACATAGGTACCGCACACACCCAGCCCGCGCTCACCACATAGGTACCGCACACACCCAGCCCGCGCTCACCACATAGGTACAGCACACACCCAGCCCGCGCTCACCACATAGGTACCGCACACACCCAGCCCGCGCTCACCACATAGGTACCGCACACACCCAGCCCGCGCTCACCACATAGGTACCGCACACACCCAGCCCGCGCTCACCACATAGGTACAGCACACACCCAGCCCGCGCTCACCACATAGGTACCGCACACACCCAGCCCGCGCTCACCACATAGGTACCGCACACACCCAGCCCGCGCTCACCACATAGGTACCGCACACACCCAGCCCGCGCTCACCACATAGGTACCGCACACACCCAGCCCGCGCTCACCACATAGGTACCGCACACACCCAGCCCGCGCTCACCACATAGGTACCGCACACACCCAGCCCGCGCTCACCACATAGGTACAGCACACACCCAGCCCGCGCTCACCACATAGGTACCGCACACACCCAGCCCGCGCTCACCACATAGGTACCGCACACACCCAGCCCGCGCTCACCACATAGGTACAGCACACACCCAGCCCGCGCTCACCACATAGGTACCGCACACACCCAGCCCGCGCTCACCACATAGGTACCGCACACACCCAGCCCGCGCTCACCACATAGGTACCGCACACACCCAGCCCGCGCTCACCACATAGGTACAGCACACACCCAGCCCGCGCTCACCACATAGGTACCGCACACACCCAGCCCGCGCTCACCACATAGGTACCGCACACACCCAGCCCGCGCTCACCACATAGGTACCGCACACACCCAGCCCGCGCTCACCACATAGGTACCGCACACACCCAGCCCGCGCTCACCACATAGGTACCGCACACACCCAGCCCGCGCTCACCACATAGGTACCGCACACACCCAGCCCGCGCTCACCACATAGGTACCGCACACACCCAGCCCGCGCTCACCACATAGGTACCGCACACACCCAGCCCGCGCTCACCACATAGGTACCGCACACACCCAGCCCGCGCTCACCACATAGGTACCGCACACACCCAGCCCGCGCTCACCACATAGGTACCGCACACACCCAGCCCGCGCTCACCACATAGGTACCGCACACACCCAGCCCGCGCTCACCACATAGGTACCGCACACACCCAGCCCGCGCTCACCACATAGGTACCGCACACACCCAGCCCGCGCTCACCACATAGGTACCGCACACACCCAGCCCGCGCTCACCACATAGGTACCGCACACACCCAGCCCGCGCTCACCACATAGGTACCGCACACACCCAGCCCGCGCTCACCACATAGGTACCGCACACACCCAGCCCGCGCTCACCACATAGGTACCGCACACACCCAGCCCGCGCTCACCACATAGGTACCGCACACACCCAGCCCGCGCTCACCACATAGGTACCGCACACACCCAGCCCGCGCTCACCACATAGGTACCGCACACACCCAGCCCGCGCTCACCACATAGGTACCGCACACACCCAGCCCGCGCTCACCACATAGGTACCGCACACACCCAGCCCGCGCTCACCACATAGGTACCGCACACACCCAGCCCGCGCTCACCACATAGGTACCGCACACACCCAGCCCGCGCTCACCACATAGGTACCGCACACACCCAGCCCGCGCTCACCACATAGGTACCGCACACACCCAGCCCGCGCTCACCACATAGGTACCGCACACACCCAGCCCGCGCTCACCACATAGGTACCGCACACACGCACCCGCACACACCGCCGCCCGACCACACCCAGCCCGCGCTCACCACATAGGTACCGCACACACCCAGCCCGCGCTCACCACATAGGTACCGCACACACCCAGCCCGCGCTCACCACATAGGTACCGCACACACCCAGCCCGCGCTCACCACATAGGTACCGCACACACCCAGCCCGCGCTCACCACATAGGTACCGCACACACCCAGCCCGCGCTCACCACATAGGTACCGCACACACCCAGCCCGCGCTCACCACATAGGTACCGCACACACCCAGCCCGCGCTCACCACATAGGTACCGCACACACCCAGCCCGCGCTCACCACATAGGTACCGCACACACCCAGCCCGCGCTCACCACATAGGTACCGCACACACCCAGCCCGCGCTCACCACATAGGTACCGCACACACCCAGCCCGCGCTCACCACATAGGTACCGCACACACCCAGCCCGCGCTCACCACATAGGTACCGCACACACCCAGCCCGCGCTCACCACATAGGTACCGCACACACCCAGCCCGCGCTCACCACATAGGTACCGCACACACCCAGCCCGCGCTCACCACATAGGTACCGCACACACCCAGCCCGCGCTCACCACATAGGTACCGCACACACCCAGCCCGCGCTCACCACATAGGTACCGCACACACCCAGCCCGCGCTCACCACATAGGTACCGCACACACGCACCCGCACACACCGCCGCCCGACCACACCCAGCCCGCGCTCACCACATAGGTACCGCACACACCCAGCCCGCGCTCACCACATAGGTACCGCACACACCCAGCCCGCGCTCACCACATAGGTACCGCACACACCCAGCCCGCGCTCACCACATAGGTACCGCACACACCCAGCCCGCGCTCACCACATAGGTACCGCACACACCCAGCCCGCGCTCACCACATAGGTACCGCACACACCCAGCCCGCGCTCACCACATAGGTACCGCACACACCCAGCCCGCGCTCACCACATAGGTACCGCACACACCCAGCCCGCGCTCACCACATAGGTACCGCACACACCCAGCCCGCGCTCACCACATAGGTACCGCACACACCCAGCCCGCGCTCACCACATAGGTACCGCACACACCCAGCCCGCGCTCACCACATAGGTACCGCACACACCCAGCCCGCGCTCACCACATAGGTACCGCACACACGCACCCGCACACACCGCCGCCCGACCACACCCAGCCCGCGCTCACCACATAGGTACCGCACACACGCACCCGCACACACCGCCGCCCGACCACACCCAGCCCGCGCTCACCACATAGGTACCGCACACACGCACCCGCACACACCGCCGCCCGACCACACCCAGCCCGCGCTCACCACATAGGTACCGCACACACGCACCCGCACACACCGCCGCCCGACCACACCCAGCCCGCGCTCACCACATAGGTACCGCACACACGCACCCGCACACACCGCCGCCCGACCACACCCAGCCCGCGCTCACCACATAGGTACCGCACACACGCACCCGCACACACCGCCGCCCGACCACACCCAGCCCGCGCTCACCACATAGGTACCGCACACACGCACCCGCACACACCGCCGCCCGACCACACCCAGCCCGCGCTCACCACATAGGTACCGCACACACGCACCCGCACACACCCAGCCCGCGCTCACCACATAGGTACCGCACACACGCACCCGCACACACCCAGTCCGCGCTCACCACATAGGTACCGCACACACGCACCCGCACACACCCAGCCCGCGCTCACCACATAGGTACCGCACACACTCAGCCCACGCTCACCACATAGGTACCGCACACACGCACCCGCACACACCCAGCCCGCGCTCACCACATAGGTACCGCACACACCCAGCCCGCGCTCACCACATAGGTACCGCACACACCCAGCCCGCGCTCACCACATAGGTACCGCACACACCCAGCCCGCGCTCACCACATAGGTACCGCACACACCCAGCCCGCGCTCACCACATAGGTACCGCACACACCCAGCCCGCGCTCACCACATAGGTACCGCACACACCCAGCCCGCGCTCACCACATAGGTACCGCACACACCCAGCCCGCGCTCACCACATAGGTACCGCACACACCCAGCCCGCGCTCACCACATAGGTACCGCACACACCCAGCCCGCGCTCACCACATAGGTACCGCACACACCCAGCCCGCGCTCACCACATAGGTACCGCACACACCCAGCCCGCGCTCACCACATAGGTACCGCACACACCCAGCCCGCGCTCACCACATAGGTACCGCACACACCCAGCCCGCGCTCACCACATAGGTACCGCACACACCCAGCCCGCGCTCACCACATAGGTACCGCACACACCCAGCCCGCGCTCACCACATAGGTACCGCACACACCCAGCCCGCGCTCACCACATAGGTACCGCACACACCCAGCCCGCGCTCACCACATAGGTACCGCACACACCCAGCCCGCGCTCACCACATAGGTACCGCACACACCCAGCCCGCGCTCACCACATAGGTACCGCACACACCCAGCCCGCGCTCACCACATAGGTACCGCACACACCCAGCCCGCGCTCACCACATAGGTACCGCACACACCCAGCCCGCGCTCACCACATAGGTACCGCACACACCCAGCCCGCGCTCACCACATAGGTACCGCACACACCCAGCCCGCGCTCACCACATAGGTACCGCACACACCCAGCCCGCGCTCACCACATAGGTACCGCACACACCCAGCCCGCGCTCACCACATAGGTACCGCACACACCCAGCCCGCGCTCACCACATAGGTACCGCACACACGCACCC